ACACACACACACACACACACACACACACACACACACACACACACACATATATATACAGAGAGAGATTAAGGGAAAATTTGAAGGTGTAGTACAGGGAACTGTAATCAATGATGGGACTGAACTGCACACTAACTAACTAACACACAAGGGGAATAGAATCAATAACGCACATGCGTGCGTCCGTTCACCCACACACCCCAGGATACATGCACCATATAGCAGACTACACACAGAATCTGTTGCTCTTCTCTGCTGGCTTATAGGGACATTTGTAGGCAAAGATTAGGGCCAGGCTTAATTAGGTGAGACAGAAAGTGTTTGTAAACTGCTCGGTACACCTTCAGGGATCTGAACCAACTGTTCAAGAATTCTGCTCACTTCAGTTTAGTCAATAAAGTCCTTTGAGGCCAACAGTGAGGCAAAAAAGAGCAGAGAAAAAACCCAAAACCTACTGCTGTGTTTCAATTTATAAGTGTTGAAGTTTGTTCTTTCTCTGCATCTTTCTAAAAGGCTCCCTTTGTATAAATTAGGTTTTTCTTTGTCAAAACATGTTGGACAAAGTTCCCTGCAAAAGTAATATTTGTTATACTGACTGAAAAAAAATCCAGATGTCTGCTTTCGACCACCTATGAGCATATAATGTTTGTTCAGATGTCATGGAACTACAGATGTTTCAACGTCCTTTATCCTGAGCACTTCTCCCCATGTTGGATTAAGAGTTGAGCTTTATAGTTCATTTGTTCAACATCTGCTTTTTTGTGACAACTGAGCAAACTATCAGCTGAAGAAGATTCGTGAGGTATGTCCAAAATACAAGTCAACTTTCTCCCGCTTCTTATTAAACAAACTTTTTTCTTTTGTAAACCATTATTTGATATGCACATCAGAAAGGCTTCTCACTTCCATCTGTCTGCTTTATAAAACACGACGCTAACAATAGCACGGAGATTAACTTTTCTCTATCTGGCTAACAGCACTGATCCCCAGCCAATTGTTGGCCTGCATGTGTGGGAGGGAGGGAGAAGCAGAGGCAGAGAGAGAAAGAGTAAAATGTGTGTCAAAGGAAGGCCAGGCTAATGAGATGGAAGGTGATGTCCATTCTGACTGTGGTGCTGAAATGCCTGCCAGTGTCAAAGCAGGAAGGCACACACAAACATTCTAAATACATAAATAATCAAATAAACACACAACAAGCTTATGAAACACAAAAAGTTGATGCCGTCTCCTTTGCCCTCTATCTGTCTCTCACACGCATCCACATCAAAACACACCAAAACTTTCAAAAGGAGGCACAACCTGAAACGACCTTTAGCTATCAGCCAGCGGACGGGCCTTTCTCCCATTTTGTTTAGCTATTGTTTCTTTTCCACCTCCCTTTGTTTCTTTTGCTCTTTTCTCTGCTGCCCTCCATCTCTGCTTCCAATGAGGTAAATGCCTGCTGAAAAGATAATGGAATGTCTTCTGGCTTGGCCTGGCCTCTCCATCTTCTACAGCTCTGACACCACATTGGGAAATTAAAACAGGGGGCAGGGGAAGAGAACGCGAGGAGAGGAAAGTAAGGGGAGGTGGCGAGAGAGAAGACAGGAGGGAGGGAAAACAGAAAAACAAAGAGATAGAGGGACCGATGGAGAGAGAAAGTGTTTGTGGTGCGTGTGTGTGTGTGTGTGTGTGCGCGCACACATCAGCGATCAGGGTCAGTACATGGCACTGAGCTCAAGGGCTCTTACCACAGATAGAGGAATCCGGACGGAGAAGCTGAGTGGACCGGGACTAAAAGTGTAATCAGTTTTTGGATTGGAGCAGATGACCCGACGCTGACTGTTGCAGTGCCATCGAGTTGGCTGGAGGTGTGAAATAACAAGGATCTCCTCCGAATACAACTCCAGTGCTGTCTGTTCCATATAATCCATGTTCACAACTCACAAGGGAAGACATTTGTGTGCGTTTACGTGCATGAGAGCTACAATGCCCAAAGTAACAGAGGAACATAAGGAGGGAGATTGTATTTTGCTTATAAAAGAGAGAAATAATCAAAATCAGAAAACTCTCACTGCACAAAACCATAGATCCACTACGAAAAATGCCCCTCTAAATCTGAACTTAATTATTCGTGAATAATTGATTTTTACAGTTAAAGCTCACAACTTGATCAACTCACAGACTCCTCTTGATGGTTGCCCCTGAGGCCGGCGTAGGAGACCCTGTAGCTTTCCACGTGGGGGTCTTCGAGCTTCCATGATGCCACCATGCTCTGGGTGGTCTCGTCACTCAGCAGAAGGTTTCTCACAGCCAGACGTGCCACTGTGACACCTCATCAACAACAGTGACTTTAGGATTTGTGATACATACGTTTACAGTTACAATTTATCCACACTTAATGTGGTTCAGTAAGTTACGGGTTAGAAAAACGGCTTCTGTCAAAGTGCCAATATGCTCAGAATGCTTTGAGATGTGCAGGATGATACATTTGCAGTAAAATCTGGCCCAGATGGAGCATTGTTTTTCTCAGGAACACTAGATATTAGATTAGAGTTTGAAACAACACAAGGTGTTTGTGTCTCATTAGTCTTGATAACAGCTTTAAACCAAGATGACATGTTTGAGGCCTGGGTGGATGAAATCAGTGTGAGGGCTCCATACATAATGCAGCTTGAAACTACAAGCCCTGATTTTTAGAAACAGGTAACTCGCTGTCTTTGAGCTGGCCACTGTAAGTTGTGATTTCTCATAGAAGCCCTTGGAGTTTTGAACAAAGCAAATGTGCTTTTTTTAAGTTTCCAGTGAGCAGGGAATTAAATAAAGTGTGTTTGTTGCTTGTTGCCTTTTTTACATTTCCACAGCCCTGAGTGGAGTAGCTGCTCTGACTGGATTAGTTGTAGGCTAGCCTGTTCCTCATATGAAACACAATCCAGATGGTATCCGGGTTGCCTCTGAGATAATGAAGTTTGAACTATAGTCTCTGGGTGAAGCCAACTTGGTAAATACACTTACACTTTCATATTTCTACGGCAGTAGACTTTCTTGACAGATGCCTTCGCGCGAATCGTGACTAAAATGTGTCCAGCCTCTTTCAATGCATAGTTTTTTTTTTAAAGCAAGTACCACTTGAACTTAGCTTGCTGCCTACTGGACACACTCAAGCAAAATTGTTGAATAAAATATTGGAACATACATACATTTCATTGCACAATTTTAATCCAACTTGTAATATCTTTACAAGTTAGTGCTTGGCCATTATTATACATGTGCCGGACACTTTTTCTCCTGACATTTTGGAATTTTACACAAAAGCAATTTGGACGCCTCTTACCTGTGGTTGTGGTAGCAATCGTTGTCGTCTCGGCCACTGGGAAAATACAAATCAGATAATTTGATTAAACCTCTCATCAGGGACTCTCTGCATCAACAACTACAGTAATTAGACAGAAATACAAAACAAAACATTGACGGGAAGATTTTCTTCTTCTGAGATAAGCTGCAACAAATAAAAAACAATACAAATTGGCGAATGCAGAGTCACGCTTTGAACTAAACAAAATGCTAATTTTATGATCCTAAAAGGCAGATGTGATTGGACCGATGTGTTATTCTCAGCAGACAGTGGCACTTTGGTGGAGAGGGTTAGTAAGGTGACTAACTTCAGTGAAACAAAGAGGATTTGAATGTAGGAAACTGCACTCGTCTCTTTCTCTTGTCTCTGGAAAAAGTTTTTAGATTCTAACTTTTCTCAAGTATTGTATTGATTAGATAACGCAAATATTATAACGAATGTCACTTACATGTGGTCTCTATAACAGAAACGGTATCACTCTCGGATTCATCTTTGAATACAGCCGTCAACATAACTTCGTACTCAGTCGATGGACTCAGACCAGTCAGGGTGTTTCTGTTATCGATCCCACTCAAGATCACCTACAAAAGAGAAACACACGTACAAGTCTTCATCTCGTATTACATTTGACTTCCAAAAAAATCCCCCAAAAAACAACTTCTCAAAGATGTTTTGAGCTCCTGCTGTTTTATAATCTAATTTCAACTGTTCATGTTTGGTCAACACATTATATAAGACACTTTTAATCGCCATGTCACACTTTTTGAGTACAGATCTCTGTCGTACCAACAGTCCAGAACTTGCCTGGGTATTAGGAGAAAGTATTCAACAAACAAGCTAAACCCAATCAGTGCTTCCCATTTTGATTTCCTTTTTGTGTTTCACAGTGTGCTGTTAACGCTAAGGTCACCTTGTGTTGTGTACTTGCACTTGTTGTACCTATATTTGCTAGAAGAAAATAAATAGGAAGAATTTCCTAAGTTACCCTCAAGATGGGAGAACATTTTGGGCATTGACCAACAGTCTGACAAGATTATTTATACTCTAAGTAAAACACCAGACTTTCAAAACCAAGGTCGTCACCGACTTTTAGTAGAGAAAGCTGCTGAAAACATAAAATAACAAATCGCCTCGTTGCTCGTAATTTCAGGAGAGCAAAACAGCAGGAAATGGTGGTTCATATTTTCGGTTTTACTTGTATGTGGGTTTAGTTGTAATACTGTATTAAATAAGTTATGTATTGTAGAAATGCAATACTTGAAATTTACTCCTCATTTGAATGTATTTACTATACTCTTTATGTTAAACAAGAACAACATTTGAATAAGGTCATTGTAGAACTTAAAAAGATGATCAACACAATATGAGTAATTCAGAAATGTGTGGTTGCCCCTGAATATAACAGCGTAGCCAGTTGTATCAACTACTTCTGCAGGAGTCTAACTGACCACTACAATTTGTCCAACACAGAAATGAGTCAGACCCAAAGGTAAACACAAAGAGGTCATCAAAAGTACAGCTTGCCTCCACGGAGAGCAACATTCAAATTTACTGTTAATGACTTAATAACCATATTATGTGATGGAATTTCTCTCTTTACAGAGCCCTTTGAGGCACAATTAAATGCATATTTTAGCAGTGGGACCGGCCATTTGTGCCATCCCAGGAGGAAGTCCATCTTCAGTGATTCATTCTCTCGCTTTTCTTTTTACATTTCCTTGCATTGAATGAGATATATCTCCTTATTTTACAGCAATGCCCTCTGTGGCATTTGCCTGATTAAAGTGGGGTATCAAACAAACATTTTATTGATTAACAAACAATATAAAAATACCCCAAATCTACTCTCAAAAAAGGTTTCAGGATGCTAAAAGACAAATGCATCCAAAGGAAATGGCATGATCAACAATGATACAATTTACTCTCATGGAGATCTAGATTATCACGATGTTTTAATCTGGGTAATCTTTCACTCTGTTTGTGTGTCTGTGTGGCTGATCAACTCTATTATGTTGTATCTCCTTTGTGTGTGTGTGTGTGTGTGTAGGTGTGTGTATGTAGAGTATGTGGGTGAGAAACAGAGAAAAGCTGCATGTATCTTTGTGCTGGTAGAATTACCAGCCCACTCCAACTCCCCAGAGTGTTATTTTCAGCTCTGATGACTCTCAGCTAAACACACAGACACACAACATGCACACACAAATGCACACAAATACACACACACTCTAAGAGACCTAAGGGCTCTATCGCGACCGCCCAGCTGTCTCTAAAACCCAGATCATGGAAATAAAACACCCAAGCCATTAATTTCTAGATTTATTCAGCCTTTATGTATACTCAGCCATGCCAGGGGCTTTACCAGCTACCAGTAGTGTAGTTAAGCTTATATGTAGGTCTATAGAGAACCGGCTCCCCCATTATCTAAGCATACAGAGTGCAGCCACTTCTTCCTCTGCAAATAGAGATAACATGTAGACCAGTGGCGAAATGAAAAATCTAATCATAAATTGGTGTAATATCCGTCAGCTCGAGGATGTGAAAATACACATTTTCCACTAGCTCACAGCTGTGCCAAGGACTCAGACTTAAAGATTCATGCCTATATATAGTGTTGTCCACATGATCTGTGAGGATGACCTTTCCTGTCACATTTCACTTCTTGTGGGTGACAACACATCTTGAAGAAAACTGTTTCTAAAACAAATCCCTTCACATAGCACATTTCATTGGTACCGACCTCCTTTGTGTCGCCACCTGTGAACGGTGCCCAGGAGAGTCTGTAGAGGATGATGTCATTGGCCGAGTGATCCCAGCTGACCTGGAAGCTGTCTGTGCCGACATTATTGGAGCGTAGATGCAAAGGACCAGGAACTGGAGCTAAGAGGTAGCAAAAGCTTTTACTTTTTAGCATTTTCTTCTTCTTTTTTTCTTGTTTTCAAATTGTCATTTGCATACCATTTCTAACAAAGTTATGGTTTCCCATAAGTTTTGGGGATATTTCAGTGTTCTGCACTAGTTTTTTATCATGATACCTCCCCCTAAGCAGCACATGCCCTGCAGTACTAGGCATAGAAAATAACTGACTAAAGGAAACTTAGTTGGCACTGCAACTGCACTGCTTGATGCAACGTTCATGGAAATGTTGCTGCTGCGGTGCAACCACACTTATCATGATGGTTTTAAATGTTACTACAAACCAGCTTTCATTGTCATTGCATATTTGATTGCACAAATACCTCCAGCAAAGAACTAAACATCGACTGTGGTTGGACCAAGCCAGAGTAAGAATCAAGCTGTGAGTCACTGGAACATGACAAAAAACATGTGACAGTTAAAATACCATATATGCACTACTATGCAACAAATAGTGTGCTAAAAGCCATATAACCATGAGCTTGCTTCAGTTTGGAACATGGTGCACTCCCTAACCAGGATACTGTATAACTGCTGCTTTCCTAACTGCAGGGGCTAATTTATTGCACAATTTTAAACTGTTTGTTCAGCAATTATCTGAACTTACAACAACACTTTCGGTGTGAACTCTACCATGCAGGTTTCCCATTAATTCCCACACCTCCACTCAAAAACCTCAAAAGTGATATCACGTTGTGTGTCTGTTCATGAAGCTCCCTTTCTTGAAACCTGGTCCATTGAACAAAGTTTGCCAGAAGATAAATAAAAATCTGCATGGGCCCTTAGAGTGAGTAGTTTAATAATTGCTTGCCAGAAATAAAATTCTTTCAGCTGACTCAGCACTGGAGCCCAACTGCTTGTTGCTTAAAGGGATATTCCTACAAATCAATATCAGTTAGTGTGACGGAGTAGTAAGGGACAGCAAAACGACCTTTTAATGCAACTGGGCTATTATGCCGAGGTGTAAATGAGATGGGCACACCGCCAAAATAGCAGAAGGACCAGTAGGGTTAATACAAATCAACACTGTTTGGCACTAAGAGAGAAATGGTTTGCCTTCTAATGGTATTTGTACAACTATTTTCAGGAAATTGAGACAAAATTGTCCTCAGCAGAGATGGGGATAGGGAAATGTCGAAAGCCAAATTGGACTACAATGAAAAACAAATGAACAAATCTACTTGAGAACTAACTAACAACTACAGTATCTTCTATTGTGTTCTTACAGTCAAAAAGTGACTTACTGGTTGTGAATCCGTCTGTGAGTGCCTCAGATTGGCCCTCATTGTACAGGGCAAAGATGGCCACCGAGTACTCCATCAGAGACGTCAACTCACTGAGGTCATATGAGTTATCTGGACCCACCTCCACCTGCACAACACGGAGAGACATGACTTATCTACACAAAAAACACATTATGCTTATACAAAAATAGAATAGTTTTAATAGTCGGATAAAAGGCCACAAATCCACTAAAAGTTCTTTCTGTTAACAGTAACACCTTGTCAATTTTCTACTGTACATGCAAGTCTTAGGAGTTTATCCAATTTACGTTCATGCACGCTTGCACAAACACAAAACATCACTCCTGTGTAATTTTCCAAGATGATTTATATCAGTGCTCAAAACTGATTTTAGTCTGACCTTTTCATACTAAGAACAATCCCTATAATTACTCTCCTCTTTGCTCCATCCTCCCTTCCTCTTTTTTCACTTTTTCTCATTAAGAGACAGACGCTCACAGATACAAATGTTGTCAAATATAAATCATACCATAAAAAGACGTCTTAAAAACATAAAATCATGAAGTCACACGCACGCACCTCCTTCGTGACTAGTCCATCTGTCTTGACCCACATGATGCGGTAACCTTTAACTTCTCTGGGCACGGGGTCCCAGCTGATGTGGGCGGAGTTGTGAGTGATGTCAGAGAACTGGAGGTTGCCGGGGGGACTCAGAGGTACTGAGATAGAAAGAGGGAGAGTTAGCAAGTGTTTGATTTGATTGAATTTTAGACTTTGAGAGAGAAGACATTGGGTGAATCTCAAGTCTCTTAATTGCATCCACATGTCCCTCACTTGTGTCTTCTCTTTGAGTCTTAGTCCCTCCCACCAGAGATGCATGGAGAAACGCAAGTAAACCATGCGAGGAGAGAGGAAACGAGGAAATATGTTTCTAGAGGTATGAGACGTTCTTTCCTCTGCAGCGTTTCGTGAAGCAACGTCGATTTCTGATGACGGCGGCCGCCGTTCACAGCTGGATCCGCTGTCAGTCGATTTTAACAGCTGTAGAGACTTTTGATGGAGTTTGTGTCTGTTCACATGACAGCTGTACGAATACTAATAAATACACAGTTATCATCACTGTCAGAGCAGCAGTGTTTTCTCTCTGTAGCCTGTTACCTGTTTAAAAAAACTGCATGGTGTGTTTATACTGTGTTCTGTGTCCCGCTTATAAGCGCAGGATCGATTTCTACTGGCAGAATGAGGTAATATTATCTATTCATTATTTGCGAATGTATGTATTGAAATTCTGATTGTGAAGTCATTATTAAATAACCCAGATTATGATTATGGTGTCATTTGAACCCTGGAAAGTATTTATTATGCTAAATGTTTCGGGACAAGTTTAAATGATGATTCTCATCTAACCCGACGCTCAGGAATTATCAGCCTCACGTGACTGAATGAAAATGACAATAAATTATGTAAAAGGTGTCTCTCTCTGACTTTAATTGTATCCATAATAAAAGTTATTGGGGGAAATAACATGATGAAAAGACAAATCTTTCAAATAATCGAAGAAAGTTGTTTGTGGTCCTTTTGTCGTTCAGACCGATCAAATACAATACTTGAGTTTAATCTGTGATCTGGCTTCACTCTGGTAGGAAATGTCAGTGATATTGAGAAATATCAGATCAGTCCGATCAGCTGCAGCGTCCAATCACATAATAATAAACAATGAGGGGGCTTGTCAGCCGTTAAAAGACTTCCGTAAAGGGTGCTCTCGTGTATCCTCACTCATGTCTCCTCAAAGATCCCTACTCGCTCCTCAAAATGACAAATAAGAGACTTGGGATGTGACCGATCCCTACCTCTGCAAAGGGCTGTTTGCAGCATTAGATTTCTTTTTACAGTTAAGATTAGAATTAAATTTAGGTCAAGGTTAGGATAAAGGTTCAGAAAGATGGCCCTCAGTTATGTGCATTACTCACATGTAGATTTCTGGTTTGTAATGGGGTCGCTAGACTCCTCCCCATACATGGCATAAACAGTGACGGTGTATTCAGTGTGAGGGGTCAATCCATCCAGCTCCAGCTCTGTCACTGCATCCGACACCTTGACCTGGGGAAGAAAACACAAATGCACACATTACAGCACTTAAGACTCTCAGCTGCCAAGTTGCTGTTTAAAACTGAATCTAACAAGCTTTTTCTGTCTGTTCCTGTCTTTCACTACCTCCTTCTCGTCTAAGTCTCCATCATCTGTAAGCGGTGCATACAGCAGCATGTAGCCAGAAACTCCATCCACACTGTCCCATCTCGCTTTCATGGTGCTGTGAGTCACATCTAATAGGTGAAGGGTCGTCACTGTGGGAAGGGCCACTACATACACACAACAACACACAGACAGCACAGTTCAATCAAGGAGGAATCATACTAATAAACCAAGTCTTTTCAGTTCATCTTCGTCAAAAACTTGTATCAAGAGGGGATCATTTTCAAAATGTCTGGATTCAATGGCTGTGAAGCTTTTTAGCTTAAATGTTGACTGAAGCATTGGTGTGAGGTTTGTCAGTACATTTCTGCATATGTGTTTGTGTGTAAAAATAAACTTACGGGTTGTTTCTGATCCTCTGAGAGCTTCACTTGCCTCGTTTGCGTACACAGCAAACACAGCCAGCCGGTACTCAGTGAGAGAGTGGAGATGCTGTAACACCACTGAAGTCTCACTGCCGTCCACTACCACCTGGGATCCAGGAGCGCGAGTAGGGGGAGGGAGGGGGACATGAAAGATGGGTGTAAGGGACAGAAAAGAGAGATGGGGCACAGAAATAGATGGAAGAAGGAGGAGGGAGGGGTGGGGGGGGGGGGGGAGACAAAGAATGGTAGGAAAAATGGAAAGTGGGGCAATAAATTGAGGAAATGACAAATAGGGGGAAAGACAGATTGAAAGAGAATGGTAAAGGAGGGGAAACAATTGATTTATTGAATGGGATAAAGCACAAACGCCTAAAGCAAAAGGATATTTTCTCATTCTGATCCGTATGTATTACAGTTGTGATACAGATTAGGTCTGGGCTGATCCAGCTGGAAAGGTCTCCTTACACGTGGCTCCTGAACATCTGGCCCCCGTAAACCCAGCTGAGCAAAAGATTTAATGGTTTCTGTGGTCAAATGTTCTGGAAAAATCAAGCAGGTGCCTCTATCAGCCAGAGTATAATTTCTAGTGATCCTTCTTCACCTGCACTGGTGTTCAGGGGATTTGTGAATGGAGGGATAAGCGCAAGAGGTATAGATGAATGATACCACCAGCATCTCAGGGAAAAACTGAGCTCAATCTACTTGTCTGAAGCACTCTGAAGATACAGTAACTCCCACTGGTGTAGTAAATATGATGGAAAAAAGACCATACCCTTGTCAAACCCCCGCTTTCTGTGATCCTTGAGTCTCTTGACCTCAGTCTGACCTTTTTCTTAATTTCATGTAGAGATACATTTTAGTGTTTGTTTACCTAAATAAATTTAAACTTGAATTTACACATTCAGTACAGTAACTGTGCTTGTGTTCTTAACAAAAAACAGTACTTACCTCCAGTGGTTCTCCTCTGCTAGCAGAATAATAAAGCACTCTGTATTTCTCCACATTTCCAGGGGCGTGGGTCCATGAAACCGTAAAGCTGCGGGCTGTGACTGCTGATGTCACTAGCTCAAGCGGCGCTCCCGTCTTCTCTGGTATATGTACTAAAGAAATAAAAGGTGAAAACAGAAGAATAAAAAAACAAACTGATTGCATCAGAATACGTAAAATTACTCCCATGTATTGACGATCTGAGTAAATTATATGGTAAAATATAATAAAAACACGCTAGACTGGATTGATGGTGTCACTTTAAAGACATTCTTCTTCTTGTTTTTCTATCCTGCATCTCCATTTCCATAGAAATGAAAACATATTGGGAGGAAAGAGTGAGAAAGAGGAAACTTTTTGTAGAAGGACATAATTTGTATTTGGCTGTGAATAAATGACTTCATGAGTTATAAGACACCATCTTCCCCAAAGGACAAACTTTGCAATACGTGCCATAATCTCTGGCCAGTGAAGCTCCATCTAAATATCCACAACTTCGTTCTCACCTCAAAATAAAACCCTCTCTACAGCTACAGCTACCATTAGGCTTAAAAACCTACCTTATCTTAATTTGCCTCTTATAATCAGAAGAGGAGTAAGTGCTATCTCTAGCTTGCTTGGGCTTACTTTTATTATTCTATCTGCACTGAACTTCTATGACTGCCGCAACTAGTTCTGCCACTTTTTCGTGTGAACAATCAGGAGAGACATTCTTAAAGTGTGCGGCATTTCCCCCCCACTACTCAAACAATATTCCATCTACGCCCTCTCTATGACAGCTGTCTTTTAAATCCGCCTTCCAGTGTGCAACAACTATGAACACTTTCGATTTCCGACGTGGTCCAACAAAGCGTCACAGGAATCACTTCTTACTTAGTTTGATATCCTTGTCTTGCTGCTCCACTTGTTCACACACAGTCTTGGTCAAACCCTCTATAATGGAACTCATGATGTTGAAGTCGGCCACGTTGTAGACGTGTGTGTTGTCCGGCTCTGACGCAATGGATAGCAGCTCATTCTCATCAGCATTCTTAACACCTGGGAAAGGAAACATATAATTGTTCTCACTCAATTTAGAGACAACACCAGTATTAGCAGTGTGACTGTCACACGTCTGGCATTTCATACGGGAATGTAACCCAGATTTCTCAATCAAACCAAAGAGCCCCAATTTTTATGATTTACATCTCAGCCAAATTCTAAATATTTGATCTCCTGCTTCATCACTGCTTTTATGGTAGCGGTAAATGCCAGTCCTCTCAGGGATGCCTGGGCCAAGTAATTGGGCAATCCAGTGTCAGATGAACTGTGGGAAGAGGGCCTGTCCAGTATACAGATCTGATCTATTAATTCTACATATAGATTTATTAAATGTGATGTTTTACACAGGCTGCATTACTCTAAAACTAAACTTAGTAAGATATTTGAATCAATTCCTCCCATGAGTCACAGATGTGGTACTGCCAAATGATCACTATCACACTCTGGCACCGTCCAGTACTGGGTCATTTTTGGGGTGACATATTTAATTGGTTATCCAAACTACGAAACACTCAGCCAGACTGTAATTTGGCAATATTTGGTTGCTCTGACAGGACAAGCTCCCTTCCCTCCCATCAAAAGCAGGCTCTCATGGCAGGCATGGTGGCAGCTAAAAAGTTAACATTACTAAACCGCAAGTTTCCATCATCCCCGTGTCTCAGGAAGTAGCTCAATGAAATGCTTTCTATTGCTAAGATAGCGCAGATTCCTTTTTGCAACGGAAGTAACAAAACAATTTACCGAGGGTGTGGAAGGTTTTTCACATCGCTTGACTGTATAGCTCATGCGCTATGCTGCTATGTTGTATCTTTACACAGTGCAAACTCTGTCTAATCCTGCATACTGACCGATATTCTAGCTGTCTCCCACCTATGTGCATTTTCGTTTTCTTTTCACCCTTGACCCTCCTGGCGCAAGGGGCAGTATACTGTTTTGCCAATATTGCTGTTGCCTGGCATGCTTTAAGATATAAATCCCCTTTCCCCTGTTATTTTAAACATCATTGACAGGATTTAAAGAGACAGGAAGGAACTCATTTTAACTCATTGGTGCACAGATGTTATTCTTGATAAGACGTATCGTCTTTAGCAGGTATGCGTTTGTGTCCTCCCTCACCAATAGCAAACAGCTCAACCCCAGCATTTCGCAGACTCTCTGCAGGAGGTATGACATCGTCTTGGGACTTCCCGTCTGTGATGAGGATCCCGATCTTAGGTATACCCACCCGTGAGCCAGATTCCGGCTTGAAGCAGTTCTCCATGATATAGGTCAATGCAAGGCCTGGAAAGAGACAGAGGGAGAAAGAGACCAGAGGGATGGAGGAGGAAGACAGTGGGAGAGGGATCAGGGTGGATGGAAGGAAGGAGAAAGTCAGACAAAAGGGAAGAAAGCCATTTAGAATAGGGAAAAGGAGGGGTGCAGTGGGAGCAAGATGAGAACAAAGAATAAGTATGTGTTAAGAGCAAAGATAAAATAAGAAAGACAAAAAGAAAAACACTGGCTTGAAACTTCTTAACAAACTATCAGTATTAACAGCAAAACAAACTGGCAGTATCAGTCAAAGCCAGCACCTGTGAGAGTATTTCCTCCTTTGTATGGCAGGTTCTTAACAGCGTCGATGACGGCATCTTTTGTGGAGAAAGCATTTAGATGCCACTCTATCCTGGGATCACCACTGTACTGAGCCAGACCTACAATCACACACACACACACACACACACACACACACACACACACACACACACAGAGAATTTATAACTTATATTACAACCTGTCAGTTGAAGTAAGACACCCAACAAAGCTGATGTGCAAACAGATTCAAGAAAAATGTACAAATATGAGGTGATAACCAAATACATCAATAGAAACATTGACACAAACAACAGTAGACCATATTGGGGGGTAGGGACCAACCTATCCTTGTCTTATCGATGCCAACATCAAAGGCATCGACCAGATTTTCCAAGAACGTGCGGACCAGCCGGAAGTTGAGCCGACCAATACTCCAGGAGCCGTCCACGAGGATCACGATGTCTGCAATGGCCTCAGTGTGGCAAACAAACTGATCAACTACAAGAAGGAGACAAGACATTCATTTTAAAGTGACCACGCACAGCTAGGGACAAACAAACAGAATAAAGGCCTAATTCTTGGGTAATTGAAAAGATAAATTTAGTGAAAACAAAGTTTTTACTTTAGTTGTGCAGATTTCTCAGACAAAACTCAGAAAACACAATAAATGCACACATCAAGTCTGCAGGTTTTTGGTTGTCTTTATTGATAAAAACACAAACTGTAAACTAAATTGCCAGAAACAAAACTCAGAAAATCAAAAACCATGTAAAATATTGACAAACCATTTCCTTGCATACAGACACATATACAAACGCCAACCGCCATCTTGAGAGCCTCCTTTGAACTCTTTGGGGTTTTTTCCCCCACTAATCTCCTCTAACCTCCTCTTCTTGGAATTAATCTCCAAACGCATTGTTGAATATTAAGTCATTTTTCATTTGAAAGACAGTTTTAACGGGAGATCTACACGTGAAACCTTCCACCTGAAAGTAATAGTGAGGATGTTGTGGAGGCAGGCGCACACACACACGCACACACACGTTCATTTATCATAATTCCATAACTGCTTATCTTGTCATCCTGCCCTGTGTGATATCATAAAAATGAATATACACCCACTTCAAGTTACTACATAAATCCCTTACAGTATCTGCTTACAAAAGCAATAGTGAATACTCCAGAACATGCTGATCAGGTTGGAATTTTGTGTCTAAATGAAGAAAGGTGCAAAAGAGAGTGCCGACTCTAGGAAATGAGAATTATTACTTTGCATTTTTGTTCACAAATGTACATTTAAAATATTAAGACTACAGGGATACCACATGGATAAATGTAGAGGATTCAATTGCTGCTGGTTAATATTCACTAAAATCAATACAAACTGAACACAACATAAAAAAATAATCTAACGCAGAGTGAAAGGTTCAATTTCTCACTCTGCTCCGATAACAGATGTAAGTTGTGTGGCTCAGGTGCATACTGAGTAATTGCAATGCCCTGGGTGAGTCCCAAGACCTTTCCCTTGTGTTCCCCTCTGTGTACACAGTCAACTACCAACTGTAAAATAATCAAAAATAAGACAAGTGAAATAGCTTTTCAGTGGCATAAAGAAGAATTTCCTCCCCAGTCTAATGGGTATTTGTCAGCAATCCACACTAGCATGAAAGACTGAAGTGAACAGCAACACATTAAATGGAACATGAAAAGAGCTCAGGCTTTGTGTATGTTGGCAAGCAATCTTTTCCTTTTTTAAGTATATGCAATATTTACTGTACCACTTGTGCAATAATGTCAGGCCAACACTATTTCAAGAGTGAAATTCATAAAAGACACATTGTGTAACGATAAACCACGCAGGAATTTGTCTCAAGAAGTGATTTTCCAGACAGAGCCTTCTGTCTGCTGTGTGTCTGTCCGACTGTTTGAACCATCCATCTGCTACAGACTGCAGGAGGAGGAAGAAGAGAAGACAGCAAGGTCAAGAGATAGCTGGTGACAATCTTTGATTTGCAAATGCAAAGCATAAAAGACTGAGGTGCTATTATTATTATTAATACTCCTCGGGTAATGTTTTGAAAAAAGCAAGAAGGTTATGAATATAGCCTTCAGAGTTCAGGTGCATACAGGCATTTATTTTGCCAAAATGTCCCACATGTTTTAAAGAGGAAGGAGCACTCTATCAAACAACCTCCTGCATATTATGCCCATTACAGTAGCCTACGTTAGTCAAGAGAATCATTTTTAATGATTCAATTATTCCATTGAGAAGAGAAGAGAATTTGTTGCTTGGTTTGAAAGTTTCAGCAAAAGGGCAAAAGGCTGTGAGGTCAAAGAGTGAAAGGATGATTCTTTGTAGTTTCCTTTCTTACAAAACAAACAAGCATGGCTTTTAAATAATCTCTAAGGTTAAAGAATAGAAAGAAAGAAGCATGACTAAGCACCAGCAAGGCTTCTTTTAAAAGTGATACACACAAAGAATAGCTGAGGAGCTATTCAATGATAAAAACCGAGAGACATTCAGGGGTTGTTTGTAACTGCTGTTGAAACTATGGAGAGACGAGGAACTTAATGGTTAAGAAAGACAGAGTCAGAGGGAGAGTGGGGTACTGTGCAATGTGAAAAGCCATCAAGAGAGATGAAGGCCATACTAAACAGAGGATTAGAGGGTCGTAATTACAGCTAATTACAGCTTGCTGGTCATCCCGTTCTACTGTTGGCAGAGTGGTGAGAACGTGTGAAAAATAATGAAGGGAAACAAAAGAAAAACTTGGGTTTGATGAAATAGCGCCGATGTATCATATTCTGTGGTTCCAAGTCATTCCTTTGTCCGGGTCTATTACTCCCGTTCGTCTCACTTTCTCCATCTCCGTGGCTAACTCATGAGAGACACGCTGTGTTTGGCACAGATTTCTTTCTTAAACTCGACACTAACTATAACAAAACTGCTATGGCAGGACCACACAAGACATGTCAGTCACGATATACATGTGTGTGTATGTTTTTATATTCATATGAAGATCAAATGGAAAATCCTATCAAGTGCTGACACATTCACGGGCCTTCATGTTTTTTTAACAGGTCTTTTAATGGTAGAGAGTAGACATCACAGTTAAGTTCAGATTTGATGCTATAAAGGGAAGAGTAAAAGGGACACTTGCCAACTTATTTGCACATAGAGTATATAAGTCATGGGATGACACATCTGTTTTGAGTAATTTGCCAACTTCTGTATATGTATTGTGTTAAACAACCTCTTCAGTTCCCCCATCCACTGACGATTTCTAACGTCATAGATGGCAGAAATAATACTACAGCGGTAGAGCTTGGCTAGTTTTCTTCTCTCTGCTGGAGGGAAGATTACACCTCAGCCAGCATTTCAGTCAAACAAAATTACATCTTAGTCTGAAAGACAGGAACCAAGTATTTAAAATGGCATGTTACAGAAGGTTTCACCATGGATATTAAAGTAAACAAAGTGTTTGAAAGTCAACTTTCTCTGGCTTGACTTGACTTGAAAAAATCAAGCAACAAAACAGCACTCTCATGAGCATGAGCGTGTCTGTAACTCAGCAAATAAGACTGTGTCCGAAAGGCTCTGTTCTGTTCAAGTGTCCCAGTAAGCCATGACCATGTGACAGTGAGCCAGCATGCACAGTATCAGGACCCTAAAAGTGACGTCACCAAATTAAATTGAGCCATTGTTAATTATATTATTTACACCTGTACTTTTTCCTACTGTGACATGTCTTGATATCATCTGCAAGACAGGCTTATTGAGAACCTCGCGCACAAGGAACTTTAGTGCATGTTGGCACTGAAGGACAGACCTTCTCCGCAAAGACAACCAATTTCTCCATCAATACGAATAGTGCTGAAATCATGTTAATTTTAATGGGTTACACAGAGAAGGCACAACACCAACCAGTCCTGTGCTGGTCCAGTACTGTAGCCTCAAACATTTGATGTCATCAAGCTGAATTTGGAGATTTGCGTCTATGTCTCAGTAACTGATTGTGAACCATGAGGTTGGCTGAACTACATCTGAACCGTATATGCATATTGATTAAAAAAAGGCGCTGCCATCACCTAACCTATTTATATTTAAGTACACAATTGGACAAGGACGTGACCAGACAGACGGTCCAACTGGTGTTCATGAGAGAGTAAGCGACCACATTTTACAACTCAGCCGACAGTGCAGTCTGCAGTGCTGTGGGAAAGAAGTACGTGGCTCCTAGACAATTGAGTTAACTTGTGTGGGAGTGTTAAAATGGGTCTTAAAAAATGTGAGCGCAACAATGGAAGCCACTGTTGGCTGACTGCAACTTCTAGCAGAGAAAAGACAGACATGCAGCGACATAGACGGGGAACAGAACCGGGAACTACAAGACAGAGATGATATAGACTAATAGTAGAAGTCACAGTTAGTAGAAGTCGTAAAACACACAAATAAAAGACAGAGGTTTAAACAAAAGCACTTAGAGGCGAAATGTTATCGAAAAACCGGGAGAGTAATGTCTGTACAATACATAGACAAATAAAAACAGAGACACACACAAACACAACACAAACATACACTCTGATGTAGTTTAGAAAGTGTTTCTGTCCTCTCCCTCCTCACTCTCTCTCTCTCTGTTTTTATTAACAGTAGTTCTTCCCAGCCGCCCCCTGATTCATTACTGACCTCTATTTAGCCAGGGATCAGACAGAGTGTGATGTCATTTCAATCGCTCTCTAGTTAAGTTTAATATCCCCCACCACTGTGATTGTGTCTCAATGTCTGGATTAACATTGAGAACAGTGACAGGCATGCAGATAGATGGACAGTAGCAGCGACAGTCCCCACATTAGTGAGAACAACTCCCTTATTCTCTTTGCAAATGTTTGATTCCTGCATCAGCCTGTTTTTATTAGAGCACTTCACCTCCAAGATGAGGGTAATTTATCGCAAAATAATTTGACATTTATTCCCAAAGAGATTAACACAAGTTAACATGTTTGACTTTGGTGTATTAATCCACTCAGTATCAAAATACACTTCAGTGAAATGATGAAATAAAATAGTATACAATGGGAGAACTGCCTCTTTTATGGTCACCCCTGTAAAATGTTTTCTCAATATATCACTTCAGGATGAAGTCTATTTTTGATCTATTTCTCCTGCCGGCTGTTTATCATGTAGAACCTAATGTTTCAATACAAGCAATTTCCTGTGTGTTGCAGAGAAGACGTCTGATCCTTTTCACCTCATCTGCTCATGTGTAGGTGTGCTTCTGCCAAACTCAGATGAAAATGTTGATAGCATTTAAAGAGACGGACACAATGAAGTGGAAAACTGATCTCGATGGACAGTTTTCCACATCATAATTTACTACACCTGTTCCACCACATGTGCTGAAGAATAAGGCTGAATGATTTAGGAAAAAAATATTTAATGGTGATTATTTTGACCGGTTTATTTGCAGGAATTACAATGTTTACATAATTATTCTAACTATATTATATATAATATAATAATATACATACTATGGTGATTATGGTGTCATTTTAGCAGGGATCTGTACCAAACAAATATGTTTTCTTAAGTCTGTAGAATATGATGTAAGGCCAGGACATCACTGCAGCACGTCAGTGTATAATTTAAAATGGTATTTGGACAAATATTTTGTCTTTAACACATACTGTGCCTCATGCGGTTTAAAAATTGCAGAAGGTCGTGATGGTCACGGCCAAATGGTGCAGCGTTTATTCTCATTAATTTGCAGTTGTCTGAATACATCATAAAAACTATATCTTAACCCTTGCTATCATTTTCTCAATATGTCAGGATTGCCCTTTAAGAAAGAACATTACCTCATGCCTTCATGACATTAAGTTTGGAATATTACAGTTCATTTGTTCATCACAATTGCTGACGGAGATCATGTGATATGATCCAAAACTCCAACTTAAACTCCTACCACTATTCAAATTCATGTGATATGAATTAAACTTCCAGAACAGCTGAACCGCAAGATGCCAAGGTTGTTTTTGTCTTGAAAACTGTGGCATTGGCGAGAATCAATACATCAGTAAAACAAAGATCGGGCTACTGCATATTGTATCGGCTGCAGTGGTAAAAAGAAAGTCACCACAATCTGAGCATGAAGCCAGAGTTGTTTTAGCTCGCCTAAAGCAGGTTGTTCCTCCCAATAAACACTGGTGCCACACAAGAGGCTCAAAAACAAGATTTTCTTTTGTTTTAGTGGCTTGTTTATTCAATCAAGAGACAGGCAGCAGATTGATACACCTGTCGTTTGCTCAGTGGCCCTATGAGCAACTCAGCCGGGCGCAAACATTCATATTCATCTGTGAGTCCTGTGGGCCTATGTGAGAGTGTATGTATGTATGTATGTATGTGAGTGAGTGAGTGAGTGAGTGAGTGAGTGAGTGAGTGAGTGAGTGAGTGAGAGAGAGATCCAGTGGGTTTTAAGGTGTAATCCGACAGCTGTTTTTAGAGGGTTTGTGTCGTTCCACCGGGGACCTTTCCCTGCTTGGCCTCCTGATCTTTAATCCGCTGTCTTGTTCTTTTTCCACTTCACTGAATCGACAGACAGTCTGACAGAACAAACTCTATATGTATGCTGAAAGCAAAACATGGCCTATAAACCGTCTCTCTCATTACCTCAGAGTCTTGTCGCTCCATCTCCATCTGTCTTAGCATGCCTTGCTTTTTTCTTTCTGTTTGTCTTCCTCTAATCTCTCTGAGACACACTCACACACACAAACACACTTGTTGAACTGTGTAGGTTTTTCTATTTCGAAATTTGAGTCCCTCTTATCATGTCTGGACATTTTTTAGCTCCATGCACACATTGTAAAAACTTTAGAGACTACTAAACTAGACTTTTTGTGTCGCTATTTAATACAATATTGGCTTAATTATTAGCTCTGTAGGAGGGACAG